ATCTCTCTTACATATTTATAAGTACTGTTAGCACATGCCGTGAATATTGCTGTCACATATGGTGCTTATGACGCTATATATTTAGAGATACTTGATAAAATCCAAATTAGAATATGCAATATTATTAATCCTGACCTTGCATCTCAGTCTCTTTTCCACCTTCGTAATATATCTTGACTCTACCTTTTCTATAAATCCTTCCATGATAATTATTCTAATGAACTTTCCCCTTAAGTGGCAGCAAAGCCTCATCATTCAGTCAGTTGAAATGGTTAGATGTAACCACAATTTCTGTGCTAACATTTTCTTTTCCCACGACTCCAGCTCGTGCAAGTCTCGACCGGCTTTTTATTTTTTAATTTCAAGTCAGCTTTGATCTTAAAAAATTTAAATGCAATGTCAATCGTTATCTTCTATTGTTCTCGCTCTTTAATAACGTTTTTTCCTTTTCTTTCACACTCTGCAACAAGCTGCGTCTTAGTGATCTTGCTTGGGATGAATTGATTATTTATATATATATATATATATATATATATATATATATATATATATATCGGCAGAAGGGGTTCAAATTATATATAATCAATATTATTATTATTATTATTATATATATATATATATATATATATACTGATTATATATAATTTGAACCCCTTTTGCCGATTTCATTCATTGTGCTAATAATGATATGCATTAAATCGTATATTTGAGAAAAATATGCAAGCCCATCGATTAACTTGATAACTGGATTTCAAGCTCAAGTCAAATAAAAAGATGCATAATCCGCATAATTCAAATCATATAGTGTAATGGCAGATCAGATACGCCTAAATAGTAAGTTCAATTCTCACTGGGTGCTCCATTAATTCGGTGTTGTGATTCTATGCTTCGTAGATCAAGTAGTGACTTCCATCTTCACTAGATGTCCCATACTTTCAACCTTGTGCTACGTTTAAAAATCACCATAAAAAATAAATATATATATATATATATATATATATATATATAATATAAAGATAAATATAAAATAGGAAAGGTTTATCAATCTAACACGTATGAAGTGAAACATATTAGATTCATAAACGTCTCCTATTTGTTCTTCATCTTATCACCCTGTCGGTTTCTGATACATGATGTACCCGCATTCGATTTTTAACTCATATATATATATATATATATATATATATATATATATATATATATATATACCGAATGAGGAAAGAATGATCAAGAACAAACCTCTACTTATTCAGTCAAGTACTCAACGCTCAGATTATCAAGCAAAAAAACATATATACATATAGATATATAATCAATCTGTATGCTATATAGAGTGAAATAATAGTCATCCAAACTCTATGTTAGAATTCTCACGGCTACAATGTATTGTGATTGATTGAGTGTATGTGTGTTTAAGCATGTTTACAAATCGTTTCTGATCTTATATCTAAGTTTTTGGAACTTATAATTGCTCGCATTGGATACAGAATTCCAAATACACTTCTGACGTTAGACATCACGTTATTCTGGTGATTTTTTCACGTAAATCAATATTTAAACTTCTCTGCCACTTCTAAAGAACATGAATAAGTAATAAATAAGAAAAAATGAAAATAAAAAAGATTTCGAAACATGTTTTATAAATATCTTTTCCAACGATCATCGCATTTTCTTTTTAACTTCGACTTGTGACTTTCGAAATGTTTAACAAGATAAAAACAAAATGTGACCTATGTCGAGATTAATATGCATAGAGAAAAAAAACGAAAGTGTCTTTTCTGTTTGTTTCTTACATTTCTCTGGTGTATTCTGATCAGAAATTTTCTGAAGAGACAAAAAAGAAAAGGTGATTGTGTCATCTCGCCTGACGGGAGCTAGTCGTTAATATAGTAGAATAAGTTGCAAATTTCAACTGAACCTTCTTAATTGGGGTTATTCTGACAATGCATTCGCACACACACACACACACACACACATATATATATATATATATATATATATATATATATATATATATATATATATATATAATAAACTATAATATAATAAACTATATATAAACTATATATAATATATATATATATAAAATATATATATATAAACTTTCCCTGACGATCCGTTTAGGTGAAACCTAGGTAGGTTTGTCTGGCTCTAAGGTGTATCTAGGTCTGCTCTACGGTTGTATTGAGCTCTTTTTTGTTAGTTAGTTGTTACTCGTATCGGGGTTTTTTTTCTTTGGGCTTCAGACCTGCATCTGTGTGATTCTTTTGTCGGCAGAAGTTCATGTTTGTAGCTCTTTCTTTTTTAAAACCTTTTTTTTCCCTCGAGATTGATTTGATTAGCAAATCAAAATTCGAGGGTTTTTGAAACGAGTCTAGTTATCTATATATATATATATATATATATATATATATATATATATATAGATGTATGTATATAAATATATATATATATATACATACATACACATGCATGTATATATATATATATATATATATATATATATATATATATATATATATATATATATAAAAATAAAAACAGACCAATTTAAGGTTCCATGTAATAAATTATTTCACCACAGCACTTTTAAAAGGACTGCGGATCATCAGACTTTACTTCCAAACAAAAAATGAAACTTTTTTACACATTTTTGACGGGCCGTATTAAACATATGTAAATTAACGAAGTGAGGAAGTGATGGTGGGGGGGAGAGAAGACATGAGTGAGTTAGCAGACATTGACACATTTAAACGGTTAACTTAACGGAAGTTATACATTGATATCGAAGGGGTAGAGAAGAAAAAACCCATAGAGAGAAAAAGAGAGAAGAAAGTTATGAGAGAAGATGTCACTAATTTTCTTTTTAAAAAAAAAGCTAGAAACAGACGCTGTTATTTTGCTTTTACTTTGAAAGTAAACAGCTAGTACATATGCATATTTGTATATATATATATATATATATATATATATATATATATATATTTATATATATATATATATATATATATATATATATATATATATATATATATATATATATATATATATATATATATATATATATATATATATATATATATATATATATATATATATATATATATATACAGACACACAAATATGCATATGTACTAGCTGTTTACATAAACTTTCATTGCGAAGATTTATTAAACCTGGCCTCAAACCATTTGTTTGTTTGTTTAGCAGCATATCAACTCCTTATGAGTCATTTAATGCGAAATTTAAATTTTAGGAGCATTTATTATTTCTTATACAAAAATATATTGCTGTTATATTTTTTAATTAAAATGTATTGTATTACTGATGGCTGGTATATTTTTCACATGGAAATGTATTGCTGCTAATTTTTACTATAAATGTTTTTAGACTTTCATTTTCTTTTAGTTTGGGATTAACTATTTGCCCATAGATGGGAGAGACCTGGGGGGCAATTCCAACTAAGAGGTTGTTCCACACTCCTCAAAACCTCCCGATCAGAGGCCTTACTGTCGGATGTAGTCTATCGTTATATACTAAAGACAACAAGAAAGAAGCAGATCAGAGTTGATATATTTTCAAATTAAAATCACGTATTAGATTAAATCGGGAGATTTTATTGTCTGCTATTAAATGAAGACATTAAAAGTGCTGCAATTTAGTCAAAATTAATATATAATAAATATCATCAATCTTATTGGCAATATTGTTACATTTTGTTGACTTTTTATACCTCAAATTTCATTAAGCCGCCTATTAAAGTTACATTTTATAAGAAACACACGTAAACCATCTTTCGTCCCCCCCTCTTATAAGTTGAGCACATTGGAAGAAAGGGAATTCATCGGCTGCTGCTAATTAACGCTAAAAGCTCTTCCATATGAATTGAGCACTATGGTAGCCGGGAATGCTTATATCTTGTATATAATGCGTTAAAAATTCCCCTTCCCGACTGGAAGATGAGCTGTGATAAAGCAAAGCAGTATGTCTGTGGATGACTATATATATATGCGTGTGTGCGTGTGTGTGCACGCGTACGCGTGTGTTTGCGTATGTATATATGTATTATAAACTGTTACATGGGAAAACGCAAGTGACCAAAATGCATATTTGTTTTAACTTCTAAAGACGTCTCATCAGGTGGTTAACAATGGTGGTGGTACCACCGCCATTGTTAACCACCTCATGAGACGTCTTTAGACATCGAAACAAATATGCATTTTTGTCGTGGCAACTTGCATTTTCCAATGTAACAGTTTATAACGAATATCTACTCTTGTATTGGGCCCTTTTAAACGTTATAGATGTTTGAATTTATATACTTTTCGTTCGTTTACATTTGGATGTATATATATATATATATATATATATATATATATATATATATATATATATATGAAAAAAAATATACGGAAAAAAAACAAACAAAATTCTAACATGGAATTATGCTGTTTTAATGTTAATATATATATGACGTGATCATATTGAAACGGAACGCCGATCTTGAACAATTTCAGTTGCCTGTTTTGATTAGTCTTACTCTTATGTCCATCGTCTTTTCATGTTGAATTAAATAAAGTCTAATGTTAATTAGGTTTTATGAATATGTCCTGAAGATGGTCTACTAGACCGAAACGTCCGACGTTGACATTATATTAACATTAAAACAGCATAATTGAATATTAGGATTTTTGTTTGTTTTTTCCATATATTTTTCTTCATACTGTCGGATGTATATCCATATATTTCCTTACATATATATATATATAGTGTAATGTTCACTTAGAATTATACAAAACTTATAAAGTGAAGTTGTTTCGTTAAATTTGCAAGTGAAAAAGTTTATCAAATATGCAAGCTAGAAATATGGGTTTGAACACAAAGAAACATGAGTTGCCCAACAAACAAGCAGGCACGGAAACTACAGTATATCATTCTGTCATAGGTACCAGTCATAGGGCAATCATTACACAGTATATATACCCGCATATATGGAATATATGCATTTATTATTCATATTATATTTTTCACTTTTCTTTTCATTTCTTTCCTCACCTACCGTCGGATGTCTCTAGTGCATCATTTAGAGAACAGCGATATGAGTTTTGTATCTCGGATTATACTGTTTCTTATTGATCTAATGAATGCCTTATCTCTAATTAGATAAGCTATCCTTGACATTGTCTTTACCTATTTTACTATATTTTGTCAACATGCACCTCTTCTGTTCACTCTTATAAAAATTGTTATTAAACTGCTTCCTTTGAACAAAACTGTAACTGAACGTCAAGAAAAATCTTCGTCTGATTTACAAACATTTGCGATATTAAGAAAACGCATATTATTCTGTATTGATTTATTTTTACAGAAAAATAATTAATTAAGATATTAATATTTTTTTACGGAAAATGTGAAAGATTGTTACATTTTTGCACTGATTGGTAAAGCCGACAGTATCAGTGTGAATATTAAAATGATAAAATCGCAGTCATAACGCGTATCTATCTATCTATCTATCTATCTATCTATCTATCACAGTCTCTTCATATCTATTTTATCTATCTATCTACCAAACAAGCCAAGTTACTGGTTAAGCGTTAAAGAAGAACCCTGCCAATACTAAATCCGCTAAAGAAAAAGAAAAATTAAAAACGAAAGAAAAGGAAAGACGATAAAAAAGAGGAAATTCAGACAGCGACCTACACAAAAGCCTAAAGTGCTCAATGACTCTGAAAATTAAACTAAGACAGAACTGTAATAGTTACATTAATACAGTGTGCTCAAATATTCTCGCCTGACGATTGCAGTACCGTAAAGCGAAGTTACGATTTAGAGGGATGTTCCTGAAGGCAGTTTGGTATTTGTTAATATCTACCTATGCTCTCTCTTTCTTCTCGTCCCCTTTCTCTCTCTCTCTCTCTCTCTCTCTATATATATATATATATATATATATATATATATATATATATGTATGTATGTATGTATTATTCTAACCTAAACACCCCAAAAAAATTCTTTAAGTATACAAATAGAAAAAAAAATGCCGTAAGAATTTTTGCCGTTAACAATTTTTTTTTTTTTAAATTCCAGAAAACATGCATTTAACAGATGTCAGAATTCGTTGAAAAATACATCCCTACCCCTAACTAAACAAAAACCCTTCTTCAAACGTAACTAATAACTGATACAACAAATACAGCGATAATGAACACGCAACCACCGCTTGTCTGGATGAATGAATTTCTCTGTATCCTTGGAAACGTGAATTATGAATTTTTGCAGTGCCTTTAAAACCCAGTATTAAAAATAATGCTCCAAAATTCGCTTGAGGATAAAATGGAACTAATGTCTTTAATTTAATTATAAAATTAAAATCAAAGCTTGTAGCTTCCATTTTTGAAACATAGTTAGAACTGTGTAGCAATTTTAAATCAAACAATTTATAATATTAATGCTTAGAAATTTACATTGAGCACTATTTTGTAAAAAATAAAAATATCTATAAGAACCCATTTTAATTTGTTCTTTATATATATATATATATATATACGTATGTATGATTAGAAAATATAAGCAATGGGGACAGACTATTTTGTTTCCTGCTTGAAAAAATCTGCAATGAAATATTACTTTCATAAAACAACCAACATTCGCTGTTTTTATATTTATAGATTCATTTTTTTTACATACGGTCTATCCCATTTTCTTAAAAGTATAATTTACTTTATATACATATATATATATATATATATATATATATATATATATATATATATAAAAATTTAAATATTTTGCGGAATTAGATCCAACCTTCACAGAATAGATTGATAAATTGGATTTATCATATCTTATTTTCCTTCACAGATGTTATTTTTATGACGTAAACTTGTTTAAATTTGTTCAGCTATATGTATTACATAATTACTTATATAATTGGAAGTCAGATGCAACTTCAGATGTGAATTAAAGAGCATAAATATTGGAAAGCATTTTATCTCTCTCATCTAACTATGTATTTAATTATATATATATATATATATATATATATATATATATATATATATATAATTATCTCTCTCTCTCTGTATATATATATATATATATATATATATATATATAATTATCTTTTCTCTCTGTATATATATATATATATATATATACGCAATCTTCAGGCCATCACACTGTCGCCACCCCTCTTTTTATATTTACATACGCTCAATCTCTAATATTGACCATTTAACTATAAATATAGCATATATAAAAAGTATAATTTTATCATATATATATATAAATATATATATATATATACATGCATACATATATATATATATATATATATATATATATATATATATATATATATGAAACTAATGACAAAAAAGACGAAAAATTGTTACATGTTTCATTCTTTAGGGCTTCATCAGACTACAGTAAATTTTTTTTATTGACCAATAACATTTTTGATCTTGCATATAAATAGTTGTCACAAAATAAAATCCTGATAGTTGCCTTGATAAAGACCCTCAGAGGACGAAACTTATCGGTTAAGATAAGTTTTCTTTTAGTCTTTATTCACACACACACACACACACACACATATCTATCTATATATATATATATATATATATATATATATATATATATATATATATAAAAAAGTGAACATAGAAGTCAACACTTAGAGGCAACAGTCTGTTTCATGCTAGATGAAACAGACTGTCACCTCTAAGTGTTGACTTCTATGTTCACTTTTATATTTATTCACACGCTCTATCTCTGATGTTGAGCACTTTATCCCATAATTATAGCACACCTTAAGACTATATTTTTTCATATATATATATATATATATATATATATAAAGAAACTATTCTACTAATAACTCTGAATCTTAGACATTTGCTCAGATTTTTGTGAAGTGAGTCAGGCTATGGACTGTTCAGCCTCGCTTAGTGTATATCTATATATTTCTGTATATTTTGAACGGTACATTTCTAGAAAGTTCAAACGTTTACACTTGTCGGAATGGATTAATCGACAGAATCCCATTTAACTTTCAATGTTCGATATTCCGCTAGATTTCGGAATCCATGGATCGATCTTTACTTTTGTGTTGAGATTTGCTTGAAAGGATTCGCCCAGGTCGGAAGCCTTGAGCGTAGATCAAAAAGATCTTCAATCCATAATATCTCGATCTTCGTTTATGCAGTCAACCTATACTCGACCTTGCCCTCCGCCACCGTTATTTCATTATTTTACCAATTCCTTCCGCAAATAGTACTTAGATCAAATAAAGAGAAAGACAGCAAACTACCAATTAATCATTTTTGCCGATTTAGTTTATTTCTATGCAGATTTCTAATTTTTTTATCGAAATGCAATCTCTGGGGTTGTTTTCTTATTTAAGACTGATAGATCTGCGTGCAGACCGAAACAAAGGAGTCGTTCTTAACATAATTTCTCTTTGTTTATAATCTGGTATTTCGCTAACAGAAAAGCAGACAGAATACTTGATCTTTTTCTTTTATACTTCGTAAGATTCTTCATATTTTACAAAGAGAAAAATGTTGTATTTATCGCAATTAATAGTCATTCTCAACCGAATAAAACTCAAACATATGGAGATTATCACAGGTCTCTTACTCACTCTGTAGCTGTTCTAACATCGAACTAAACTTTCATTCTAGGGCTTTCCCTAATTTATTTTTTTTATTTATGGGATGTAATTTGACTACAGTAAATGGATATATAGTTTGGTCTACGGCATAACCAAGGATAGCAGTGCACACGCTAATGTGTATGATGTATTATGCGACCCTCTTAAAATTAGATTCAAAATTAGGTCTTCAAATGTCACATGATACACGACCATATATGTTATGTATCTCAGCGATGAGGCCAAACGCTATCGGCCATTAATCATTTGCTCTTGATATTTATTAGGTTTAATACGAAACAAGTCCAAATGGCGGGAAATTAAACTTTCCCGCCCATCTTTCAAGTGGGTTTACTCAAACGCAAACAGTTTTAGACATGCGTGGATATTTCAAAAATTTTTCGTTCGCTTTCTACTGTCTCGTTGTTGTATATTAAGTATTGTATGATATGAGGCCTTTTGAACAAATCCAGCAACAGAGAGACTGTGTCCCGTCAGTCTAAAAAATGCGAAGGGTCTGCGGCACATGAAAATCGGTATTCAGCGTGGGCTGGAACACCGGCCTAACGGATCGGTAGGAATAAGGTAATTGTTTTAACCAAGAAGCAGATGTTATCCAGAAATTATCCTCCAATCAGCACCACTGTTAGAGAAAAGAACAATGACAATCTCAGAGAAATATTCTAAGCAAAGAAATGCCCGCTTTTAATATATTAATTTAGAATGGAAAGGTAGATATTTACTTAAATTTGATACAAGAGACATTGTACGATGCTAATCTTCCTATTCGGGGGAGCCTGTCAAATTAGTTTAACTAGAATATTAGCATACATAATCCTGTCCTCTTTTACCGGAAGGAAAAAAAATCAAGATTTCAAACGGCGGAAAGACGAAATTCAGATGTTATTTTCATTTTAACATCTTTATTAAGGAAATAAAAATAATGGTTACTTTGTAAAAATAGCATTTAAGTAGAAAAATACTTTTCTTAATGGAACGCATATCCGTATTTAGTAAGCTTTATTTACTAAGGTTTAAGACCAAAAATGGACTGTCCTCGGTATGACGATAAATTACATCCGGCAGCAAGGTCTCTGATTGGGAGGTTTTGGAGAGCGTAGAACCACCTTTTAATTGCTGTTGTTCCAAGGTTCACCCTGATCCGGGTCGTGGCACCTGTTAGGGCCTCAGCTATGCACAAATAGTTAAAACCGCAAGTTGGGAACAAAACACTATGAAAGTATAAAAATTTTATAGTAAAAGTACCAGCAATACGTTTTCATAGTAAAAAAAAATTACCAGCAATACATTTGTAAAGTAAAATATAAATAAATAAATAAAAATAATTACTAGCAATACATTTCTGTAAAAGAAGTATTACCAGCAATACATTTTGGTAGACAAAATTAATACTGAAGAAAATTTCCCAAGAAAATTAAATTTCGGCATTAAATGACCCATAAGGTGTTGACATGCCGTTTAACAAGTATACTCAGCTATTCACCGCAAATGTGGAGAGTTAAATGAATCTTGTAAAATTATAAATGCTATAGATTTATGAAGGCTCGTTCACCGATCGATATATATTGCGTAACTACGCTAACGACATTGCAACACCCTGAAGGACAATGATGATTTTGACCTTAATACAGAATGTACATATAAGAAATTATATATAATGTTAAGCTTCGGTCTTCAGCTAGCCTGACATAGTAACATTCAAGTGTACCATTCACGTACGCTCTGACAAGGTTCAGTGTTTTGAAAGACTTCAAAGCCAGCAAGCACCATGCTACAAGTGTTTCTTTTGTTCAGTTAGAGCCGTTGAACGGAGTCGAACTGTGGGCTTTCGAGTAGCTGGATAGTCTTATCGGAAGGAGATGCATCATTGGTTCTTCAATGTTAGCTGGACCCTAACAGCACCGTCATACACGTTTTCAATGGTGTCGCACGAGGGTCACCAAGAAGAATGAATGGTGTTATATAGTGTTCGATGAAGGTTGTGTGCGCGAATCTGAGATCTGTCATCTTTCAAAGTCTTTTGATTCGCAACACGCAGACCCAATCTCTGGCGTAATAGGGAGGAATGATAAACTACAACTCTTCGTCGGATATGGTGTTTGCTGAGAGAAATTTAAACACCGCTATGTACTTTCAGAAAATTGTTAAACACATTTTGTTGACCAAGGAGATGTGCTATTCCAGCAGGGCAATATTTTTATTTTACTACTTTTACACAATACAAAGCTCAAGAGCCACTCAAGGTAGAGTGTTACTAAATAAGTTTGTTTTAAGAGCATATATGGATGGAGAAGAGTTGCACATTATGAGGATATGAAGAATAGATAACAGTTGACCCTCGAAGGGGTTAAGAGTGTAGTGATGGGAGAAGCAACTTCTTGGGAAACAGTTTTAGTGTAAAATCTATTTGAGTGGAACCTCCTCCTCGCCAATGGGATGGGAAAAGAATGAGACGACTATATAAATAATAATCACAAGGTTTCTTAGCTGGGAAAGTTTGGATAGGTGGAACAAGGATTTGTTGTTCAAGCGAACATCTACCATGAAAACAGTGATAGAGTAACACGAAGGTAGCGACATTTCGTCTATAGGCTGTCAAGTGGAAAAAATTTCATCGCCCACAAGTCGCCTACTCACATAATATCCGTACTATTTAGCATATTCTGCAAGATTTTCGAATAGTTCCCTGGTTGGTACGATGTCCCACATTAAATATATATAAGGTATGATGGAATGACGCCTGACTGGATCAATTAGTCTGCCTAAAGTTCATATCACATCGTCTAACACGGTGCAAGAAGCGTGGAACAATGTGTAACAGGATTATATTCGCTACCTGTATGATATTATGCGTGCTTGTGTACACGCTTGTGTTAATACCTAAGAAGGATATCTTGTAGATTAATACGGTCGAGGCTACTGTTATTAGGGACCTTATTTTTAAACCTGTGCATCTATTGATTTGTATATATGAGCATTCAGCTATGTTACCGGGATATAGCGATATGTAAATGACTGTCTAATTAACAAAGCCGAAATTTAGATTTTATAAATGCCCAAGCAGTAAGGGTTGAGCAACTTACGATATGTAAGTATCGGGTGATATGAGATATATATATATATATATATATATATATATATATATATATATATATATATATATATATATAGAGGACTGGTTTATTTTTCTGAGGCATCCCAAAAATGGGGAAGTGACGAGGGAGTGTTGAGATTTTTTTTTGGTGGGGGGGATGTTAAACCTACTTTGTGTCATATTCGGTGGAGACGTTCGCGCACTGAAAGATCAAGCTCTTTGTATGCGTGAGAAGCAACTACATTTGGACTGATAATATAGTAAATAAGACTGATAAAATAAAATACGAAATCAGACTTCGTAACACTGGACATTTAAACAACAATTTGATATTTGGTCTGTGTATTTCAAAACATTAGGTCAGTAATTTTTTATTTCATATTCTTTATCCTTTCTAGTCTTATCTCTTTATTCAATCGTTTTTTTTTTAACAGGCACTTAATCCACAAATTAATTTTTTTACCGCTTTCTACGGTTTTCTCTATTCATTATCTATGACTATCCAACTCTAAGCATCCTCTTCTTTCTCCAAATCCTTCTCCCTCGGCCATTATTTTTTTATTCGTACACTGATCCCCTTTACTTACCTCTGAATACAGTATCTCGCCCAATACGACCGCACTTCCGTTTCAGTTTATTCTATTTCCGTTTCATTTTCTTAACGATCCGCCATGTTTTCCTTCATAATTCTCTGCACCGATTTCTCTTCCGTTCTCACTGTCTTTATTCCCCTCTTTTCTGTTTTTTTATCTTCTTCTTCCCACTCTTAAGTATCTAGTTCTATTTTCCAATAATATGCCCCTATTCTAGACCTACATATCACAATTAGCTTTAAGAACGCTTTGGACTTCTCAAATACCAAACTGTGCCTCTTCCCCCATGTGAATCAGGCGCAGTAATGTATAAAACTCATTATCGTTTGTATAAATCACATTTCCCATCAGAAGTTTTGGTAACAAATAGAACTCAGCGAAAGTCCTTAACGAATTTAACAAAGGATGAACTTTGTTCTACTGATTTTTGATTTATGATCTTTGTAGTTCGACAAAGGTTGTTATTCTTATCCACCAAGAATACAGAGAAACAAACGCTTCGATCGCTTGCTCATTCCTGCAACAATTGGGCTTGTGTTACTATAGTGCTTTTTATGAGATTCTAGTAAACAATTACTACTGTAATGAGTTCGATATTTATTGCTCTTTCATTATTGGCCTTGTGAACGACAAAGTTAAACGTATATAACGTTACGGGTGTGCGTTGTGGTGTATCGTCTCAGTATGAGAAATACGAGAGCCGAGTTCGAATTTCAGTCGGATTCGTTACATTTACTTATGTGCAAATATCCTTGGGAAAGGTATGAATCCTTCTCTTCCCCACACCAGTTATGGGTTGAATAGCAGGACTGACTGGGTCCTTTAGACTTGGTTGGCAACCATTATACCGCAGAAAACGGCAAACTACTACAAAATATAGTCAAATATGACTTGAAAGGGATATGATCGCCCAAGCGTGTATCACGTATGACGCTTAACAAATATAACCTGATTTAAACGCTCACATAATAGAAAATTTTACAAGGATTTTTTTCTTAACTGTCGAAAATTGATTGCTTCTGTCGAGGTTGATATTAGGAATACCAGGTTATTGATAGTAATAGCAAATAATTCATCAACCGCAAGGCTGCGTTGTTAAAACTTTATATATGCATTTCTATCTTTCTATTTTCATCAATATGACAATATGATATAATTGTTCGTCCCAATACTAGATTTACATTTCATATATATATATATATATATATATATATATATATATATATATATATATATATATAACCTAATGAGCCAGGAACAACCTGTTTGATCTTGGTTCTTTAGAATTTATTTTATTTATCCCAGCTCTACTTAGTCTATTGAGCACTCTACATTTTAACTTTATTTTTACCAACCGAGTATTACTATTAGTAATATATATATATATATATATATATATATATATATATATATATTAGTTTCACGCCCCAACTGATCTTCAAACCAATACATATATATATAACAATCATAATGAAGTGTTGGTTATTATGTCTACATTGTGTGTGTTTACAAACTCCCTATGTCTGATATTAGTCACTCTTGCCTAAAAAGTCAGCAAATTTTAAATAGTATTTTTAGGTATTATAAATTATAATTGTTCTAATGCTTAGCGGCATATTAAGGTTGTTGATTATGCTTAAATGACAAGATGCAAAGGTTATGTGTAGGAAGACAAGACTGCATCAATTTTTCGATTAGAAATACTTGAAATATAGCTTTCGAAACTATCGCTTCTTCGTTGGACATAGGTTTTCCGCAAATCTTTCCCTTTGCCGTCCATGGAGACGAATGAGCCATTGCCTTAATACGCTAGCCCAATGCGTGTTAGTAAGGGGATTACAGCTCTTGATATGCCCAAGCGCTCACACTTTTTGGTATTTAACGTTGCGTAATTTCGGTAATCGGACGTGAACCGGTGTTGCAATGTGATATGGCCGTAAATTGGTATCCGCATAGCAGATATTAAAACAAAAATACCATAGGTTCGATATTATTATTTTTTTATAATGCGTTTCCTGATTGTAAATGTTTTTGGCCTGGGATTTCTGGATGGCAAGTAGCAAATTTTGTACAACAAAGAATTAAATAAATCTGGTCATTTAAAAACAATGCAAGAACTAGTGTAACATTCCATTTCAAATGGAGATTATTCCCGCCTTTAATTAGAAATCATTCGATTGATGAAAAATTAACTGATGGAACAATACTGCGACTTAATTGAATATCGTTTCATTCACGAGGAGGCTTAATTAACTTTTGCATGGTTTAAAATGATATTCTTTCAGCATAATTTAAAACTAGAAACAAATGTGACTTGTTATTTTCAGTATTCAGTGCTTCAGTGTCTATTCTCTTAAGATGTTACGCCCACATTCCAGGTGAACACTGGATTTTTTGGTCTCTTCAAATTTAAATATTCACCCAGTTTATCGCTGTCAAATATCTTCATCTGGTTTGCATAGAACTGTTTGCAACATTTGTTATTAATAAATGTCGCTAACATCGAAGCTTTCCATCGCTCTCGAGCGTTGAATAATTCCAAAAGGAATGTTCACTGGGAGACCGGGGATTCGTGCCCAGGACAGAACTACACTCAGACAGAACACCCTATTTTGGCAATTATACGCAAGAAACAAACTTTGTGTCGCATTTTGTATCAATAGATTTTTAAAAGAAATTCCGATTATATTTTTTCAAACCTAAATTAAAAAAAAAAAAGGTTTTAAAATAACGTTTAGATTTAGAATACAGAAAATTGAGACAAGCGGAACATTACTCCTGTATCCAATGCAATCGCCTCTCATTGCATTACGCCATGTCAAGTGTAGTAATTCTTAATAGTGATTGACAAGGATGTGCAAGTAACGTAACGGTTGTTTGATCGATTGGTTTATTTACGGATTATCAACCTCTTGCAAGTTATTTAAACCCAAAAAGTATTTTGTTATATACCGTACCAATGAACACTAATGGGTATGTCCCAATCCTCATAAAACGTTGGACACTATTGTAAGTGGGGGTAATATGCTATCTAAGTAGTCCACCACTAACAGTGGTTTACCTACTTCACGCCGCTGGCGAGTATTGTATTTTATTGATGTTATAAAGATTACCATTTCATTTCCAACCTCCATTTTGGTTATTTCTCATTCAGTAACCCTTCCTAGGTTACAACATATATATAAATATATAGATAATAATGATTTACTGATACAAACCCTAGTAATTAACCCACAGTTGTTGGGAAGAAGAGATGGATTCATATCCTTTCCCAAGGGTAGTTGCGCTTAAGTAAATAGAACGAACCCGACTGAAATTGGAATTCAGTTCTTTGACTTACAGTTCTGATACATTATCCATTACACCAGCAAACTTACAGTACTTGATATTCCTAAGAGGTCACCCATCTAGGTAAAGACCAAGCTCGACGGAGCTTCACTTTGGTGATCGGATGAGAACTGGTGTTTCAATTTGATATGACCGTGAGCCTCGTAACGGTTGTCGGCACGGAAAAGGGGTATCGGTGATCCGGGTTCCAATTACAGCCCAGTCTATTACGTTTATTTTCGCATATGCCCTTGGAAAAAGCATGAGTCTTTCTTTTCTCCTCCAACTATGGGTTAAATAACACCATAGACAGAGCTCTCTAGAACTGGGTGCCAGCCAATCTAAATGAATGATTACATAGATTTCAAAACTGTGGAGTAGGTAATGATATACATTTATACATAGTTATATATAATTCACAGATAATAAGAAAACAGAATCTTTTTTCCCTAATTTTTCACCCGATATAAGGCCCAGTCGTCATTCAAAGTAGAGTATTACTCCACCGTATATAACGTTATTGTATACGGTGGAGTATATGAATAGCGGCTCGGATTGAGAAATCGGAGAGCCGAGTTCAAATTTCAGTCGAATCCATTACATTCACTTACGTGGTAATACCCTTGGGAAAGGTATGAACCATCCTCTCCCCCCAGCTATGGGTAAATAGCAGGGCAGATCTAGTTCTATAGCCTATAGTTGGATGGCAACTGGTCTACCGCAGAAAGAAATGGCAACCTACTGCATGAAAAAATCGGCCTCGTCAGTCATGTATCGAAAGGTACACGATTGCCTATGCGGGTATCACGCATGACACATGACTGACTGATATGCGAATGAGGAAGTGGTAATAAGTTCAGTTTATAGGGATATGCAGAAGATAATTTGAAGATTTGAAGAGGTTTAGGCTGTAGTGTTCTGGAAAACATCCCCTATCAGGAATCTGTTCCACAACGTTGCGGTTCTTGTGAAGATGTTGTCCGAATAGAAGTTCCTTCTTACTAATAGAATGCGAAGGAAAAGAGGATGATTCGTTTCAGTGTCTTAGACGTGAAGGTCAGAATTGGTGGAACAAAGAAATGTAACGCGTCAGAAAATTTAATCAGAGAAAGCTCTCACATATCTCAGCCCAAATTCGTGTTAGATTTAAGTATATATTTTTTTTTCTCGGAAACGGTCAGAGAAGACTGCCTCTCCCCAAGTAAACTTTCAGCTGTTATGTCCAAGTAAAGAATTGTTCTTCAAACCCTTTTAATGAGCATCATCGTATTTCCTTACAGTTACATCGGACTTTCATATATATAGAGGAGGGTAGGCTGAATTTTGACTTTTTAAGAAAATCAACATTGCACTCGGTATTTCGGTTGGCATTTTATGTAATAAGCAGAAACACCAAAACATAGATTTCAGCAAAATTTAAGCATCGATATCGTTTAAAAAATGTACAGAAATACCTAATTTCTGAAAGTTTCGCTTACAAACTGACATCAAAATTTTACTATTTCAAGTATAAATCTAAATTAATAAATTTTGTATTAGATACATTGAATGAAAAATATATTCAAACTAAGATTTTAATTATGAATCACCACATGTAATTTTTTTACTGTATTCGATAAGTATATTCCTATGTAAAATAAATTGTAAAAGATTACAAAAAAAAGGCTACTCAATGAATAAGATTTGTTAGATAATTTCTAAGATCATAATTAATAAAAAGAAAAAATAGATAAAAGTATATATAACACTATAATACTCTTAGCACAAATTATAAGAAAATGTTTTAAATGTGCATTGTTTATTGAAAATCACATAAAACTACAGGACTGTATCACATATTACATCATAATATAGCTAAATTGTTCAGTATAACTTCCCTTTGAAGTAAATGAAGGCCCTATTTGATGGTACAATGATTTAGCAATAAGTACTTGAACGATGCATCTTGCCCATATACAATTTGTAAAACTTCAGTAAATTTTAAGTTTTATAAGGCTTTCACTGATTACCGGAATAAAATTCCAACGCTATGACTTTGAACCGAAACGTAATCTTTAAACTTGTTTCCTCAAAAAAAAAAAAAAAAAAGAAAAAAAAAATAAGAAAAAGAAAACAAAAGAAAAACGGTAAGGATTTAGAAATATATATTTTAAGTCCTTCTTTATTACGTGAAACCCCAATTCGCAAACTGAGTAAAATATTACGTTTCGAAAATCGACCTGACTTTGTTTTATGAAATCTTGTATTTTTTTCCCGGATTCGAACTTCAGGCAGATCCTCTTTGACACAAGGAGCAAATGTAAGGACCTAGCATTAGATATATTATTGTCGCACTAATCTACCTAATATAAAGTACACACCTGCCTTGACTGGGGCATGAACGCTGTCCAGTGACGCCAGACTGAAACAAACTATTTTGGCAAGGAAATGTGTCCTACCAATACAGAAAGTCCAAAATAAATTGATATTATTTTGTAGTCTACTTCTTGCTTAAATGATCTAAAATTTTAACACAATGTTTGAAAACTAAGTTGACTGTACGGACTTATTTCAATGAGAATCTACCAGGAAAATGGACCTGTCATGTCAGTGATAATGACAACGAGCTGTTGATATGGCCACGTTAAACTGATTTGACGCCTTTTCTATGGGGAGAGGACAGTTTTATATACTTCTCTGCCTCGAGGAACTTCAGCAAAGAATCACTGAATGTTACGCAAGACATGCTACAGCGTGTTTGACAGGAGCTGGACTATCGATATGATGTCACAGGTGATGGGCATATTGAACATTTGTGAAATCGGTTATAAAATCTCCATCCCTTTAAATACCTTGTTCGAATTTTGGCAAATATATATTTTATTGTTCAACATAAAGCCTATTTAATTTCGTTTGCCTGGGACATGTAGTTAGACAGATATTCACATTTTTAAATTATATCTTTTTTTTTTTTTCATTTACTAAAATTAGTTTCGTACAGACAATTCATTGTTTGCTTTTACGGTTTATCAACCTTTTGTGGGCTATTTAAAGCCAAAACATATTTGGGATTTATAACAATAATTATTTTATTTTTTACGAGTAAACTTTACATTAACGATTTTTTAGAGATAACAATGATTTTTCCAGACACAAGTCCTACTATTTAACCAATATGTGTGGGAGAAGAGACTGATTAGTACAGAAAAGGACAAATGAAGAAGAATATATATCAGATTGTATTGCGTTCATTTTAAAGAGGATGGGTGGAACCTGCTTAAAATACCAGAAGTTGAAATTCGAGCTGTTTGTTTTGTAAATCCTTTACTGTCTCAGTTTAAGACATCACACAATTATTATATCCGCGAGGCAAAAACGAGCATTATTATTGTAATTATTCTTGATTAAAATTTTAATTTCTGTAGAATTAGTAGTTAGAAAGATTAAAAATAAAGCAAAAAATAGCCCTAAATATTGAAAATTCAACATTACGCCGATTTATATTTGTTGAAATTGCGTGTGTGGTTAGTCCATGTTTGTTGTGTTTTTTTTATACTATTTTTTTTCTTTTTTTCTTTTCGATGTTATTTCTTTATCAAATATTTGTATTTTTAGGAATTTACTTTTTTTCTATGTCGTTTATTCATCATTTTATGATTCCGGATCCTTTATATTCTTTTCTTTCCGTTTAAATCGATTTTATTTATTATTATTTACTCATTGTTTTGCATTTTCTTTCATCGATTTATTATGTTTCTTCCATTGGCTTTATTCATTGTTAATTTGGCTGTCCATTACCCAACTCAAGCACCTCACGATTCTTATGTTACTTTTCTTTCTCTACAATTCGTCAACATTAATATCACATTCTTTCTCTTCCTTCTTGCAATCTAATACAAAACGTAAAATGCTGACCTGTCTTTATAACACACATTACACTGAATCATTTTACCAGTTAACGCAGCCTTATAAATATTAAAGAATTACACACATGCGCATTTTAACTGAAATCTATTTTAGCGCTGAGTACAATTACAATCGAAAGACGAAGCCCAGAATAAAAAGGCGGGAAATAAATAAATCGTTGTCTGAGTACAGAAAGGTACATTTTTAATTGATTTAATATCTCGATTATATTTCTTGCACACTTGCATTGAATGAAAAGACTTTAATGTTTATGTATGAGATACCAAAAGGGTTTCATGTGTTTTAATAAAATAATTAATCGGTTACATGATATTTAATATATTATTTAACTGTTTTACTATAAATTGCAACTCAGTTCCACAAGTAGGACCAAACTTCAGTGCTTAGGTTTTTAACACATTTTTAGAGATTAAATAAACTTTCTGCTCCTTCTTCTATATGATATCTAAATAACAAGTTTGCTTGCATATATAAAAAATGATTTTACAGAACGTTCGACATTTTCTTATCAGAAGGATTACGACCACATGAAAACATTGAAACAGCGGTTCTCGTTCACCGAACTTAAGCAACCTCGAACCTAGTCAGTTCCTGGATGGGTGACCATTTGGGAATGCCAGGAGTTGCAATCTGTGATGTGCTGGTGGTGTAATGATAATGACTTGGAATTGTTAATCTGAGAGCCGAGTTCCAATGCCTGTTCGTTATATTCCCTTACGCGCAAATATTATTTTCTCTCTCTCTCTCTTTCTCACCCTCACTCTCTCTCCCTCTCTCTTTCCCTCTCTCTCTCACTCTCCCCCTCTCTCTCTCACTCTCCCTCTTTCTATCTCTCACTCTCACTCACTCAGTCACTCTCTCTCTCTCATACTCTCTCTCCCTCTCTCTCTCTCTCTCTCTCTCTCTCAACTATGGATTAATTAGTAAGACTTTATCACATCCCCATCCCAGAATTCTTAGAGTCTAAAAATATTTTATGGCTTTAAATAATCTCCAAAGTGTTGACAAACCGTAGAAAATGAATCTCATGAGAAATTTTGCATATATTGGAAGCACGCCAGATTAATGGATGTCAGCTCGGATCGAGGAATCTGATTTCGAATCACATTCGAGCCCGTTACATTCACTTACATGCACTGTCCAGCATCTATAACTTTTTGCCTGTCGCGTTCGGGACTTTCGCTATTATTGATTGGGCTACAAATGGTAATACCTTATTCTCTCAATAGACCCCATAATAACCCAGCTCCGAGTGTAACTACGTGAAAACATCTGGCTGGTCTAGAATCTTCAAACGCACCCATCCGCGTTTGCCATTCTCTTCCGGGACATTAAGTTTCATAATACGCTATCAATATCATTTACTTTATTAAATATTGAGCAACTAGCAATTAAAATTTTCATAAAACGAATACAATTTTTTCAGTCCTATCATTGCTTTTCTTGGTGGGTCAATGGTTAGCAAGCTTTTCTTGCTAACTCAGTTATGAAGGAGGCACTGGGTGCTCCAATACTTTCAGTGTTGGGCCGCATCTAAGCTATTCTTAGTAAATCGGGACACTTCGACTTAGTGTAATGGTTAGCAAGATTGCCTCGCTAGATCAATTTCGTCTGAATAGTGATTTCGATCCTCACTGGAATCCATATACTTTCGGCTTTGGACGACATTACGCTACGCCACCATTGCTTTTCATGATGGGGCGGATTATGGTACCTCGGCTCTCGTCAATGGTTTTATAGTTGAGCATTACTACCGATTCATATTCGTGCTAGTTGTCTTGTGTCAAACTAAAGTAGACTTAATAAATTAGTTTCCCCAGCATATATTAATGGTTAGCTATCTTTTTCAGTTACTACTGAGAATTAATTCGAACGTCACTGGGTGCCCCATGCTTGCTACCGTGTGCGAAACTAAAACAAGCTTAATAAATCGGGTGCTTCAACATAGAGTAATGGTTAGCGAGCTCTTCCAGTTAGCCCTTTATTATGAGTAATGAGTTCGATCCTCACCGGATGCACGAAACTTATTGCCTTTGCCAGTATATCTACTATTCATTTCCTCCTGTGGTATGATATTTACCAACTGTTGAAAATATGAAACATGTTAGGGCTAGAAGTTAGGATTAAGTTTATGGTTAAAGGCAGTGAACTGGTTATGCATTAAAAAACATTAACAATTTTTTATACAAAAAATAAATCATCAAATAGTGACTTTAATGTTTGTAAACTGATTTGGGGGTCATCTAAAAAAGCAATAAACAGGGCATCGTTTCTTTTTTCTTTTCTTTTTTTTTTTCTAAGTATTTTCCAGCAATAATGAGTGCATCGTCATTTACGGTAAGTCGCAAATGCCTCGGTAGATATCATACTATAATAACACCAGTTAACCTTACATGTATGTTTACATCATTTACGACCCGTTTCTGAGACCTGAGGCGACTGTTAACTAAAGTCCATTGAAATGGACTGTTTTCACCAGGCTGTAATGTCTTCATTGCATTTCAAAGTCGTAGTGATAGTATCAATCCCCGATGACTGAAGCAACCCAAATGGGAAAGTACAATGGAAATTAAGTAATTAAAGGCACTACCCTCATGGACACGTGCAGGTCTCCACGTTGATTGTGACCTCAAACCTGTAATCGTTGAATGCTAGGTAATTGAATTATCTATTGCTTGTTTTATTTTTTTAAATATCATTTTTTTTTAAACAACAATTTGGTTCGTTAAACGAAGAATATGAAGAGAAACTAACGACCAAGACAAAAAAAACTCCCTCTCGCCAAAGTGTAAAAAGAAGAAAAAACAGGTCATAATAGGTCAGCATTGTACGTCGCTTCCTCTTCTAGTAGAACGGGCGGATTGTTTTGGCTGAGATCTGCACGCTATTGTGTTCAAAATGCTTCAATAACAAGAGCCTGCTCGAATGGATGTACAAAGGAAATAGCTGACCGGACATATCTTGTAAGAGAGAATAGTAGAAGATAGCAATGAAGAGAAACACTTATTGTTCATAAGCTTCGGGTGTCCACTGAGCAAGACACGTAATTATGTTGAGGACGCACTAATCATTCTTTACTGGCGAAGACAAGAACCTTATGTAAACAAGCGATGTTTCATAAAAGCAATTTTATAGTGATTTGCTAAGCCCAATTTAGATGTGGCACAAGGCCGAATGTATGGGGTATCCAGTGAGAATCGAACTCACTACTCAGTCGTAATTGATCTAGCAAGACAAGCTTTCTAACCATTACACCAGGCCGAGGTGTCCGAAGCAATTTCATACATTGATATAGAAGCTCTTGTAGCTTCGTCTCTCGGATTTACTTCAAAGCGTGAAGTATTTTTCTAACCTTTAAAATCAATTTTTATCTGAATTCTTAAGACGAATTCCTGTTATTGGTTGAGGGCTTTTTTGAAGTGACATCTTATTCATTGTTAAGCTTATAAAGCAAAATATATGCTTCAACCAGTATGCCCACTGAAATATATTCCAGGTAGTTGTAAATGAATTTTAAAAGGAATACTTCACTTTGGATATACGTTTTTTTAATAACTTTCTGTCTCAGGGTTTAGAAATCGCAACTGTTAATATTGATGTTCTGCGTTATTGACAGCAGTCGGACACTTTGACGTGGTATAATGATTAGCAAGCCTGCCTCACAAGATCAATTACGATTCAGTAGGCAGTTCGAATTTTACTGGGTGCCCCCATACTTTCGGCCATCTGCCAGACTTAAGCTACGCATAGAAAATGATCATTACTGACAACAGTTACGATACGAGAGCTATGCTTTCTTCATATAGAATAAACAACGTCAACATTTAAATGAGATTGTCAACAAGGTAATGCGCTTCTTTGGATGGATGTCTGTCGTGTGCCCGGCTATAAATAGCGGCTCAGATTAAGGAATTGGGGAGCAGAATTAAAATTCCAGATGAGCTTCTTTCTCTTTCTTTTTTTTAAGCATTTCACCCCTAGCAAGGCGGGAAGTCACTAGCACGCAAGGGGTTATAGAGGATTTGGAGCGAGAGCAGGAATGATAGAGGAAAGGATGAGGAGAAGGATAGTAGATAGATCAAGGCAACTGGAGATGTCGATTGACATTACATTTGAATAGTTAGAGATTATAGCTATCAGGGAAACAGGAATAGGGAAGGGAGTTCTACAGGCGAGAGGTGCGAGACATGAAGCTAGTGGAGTAGAAGAGGCAACTACATTTATCAGTTTCAACAGTGAAAGGGTGAGAGCGGGATGCCAGCCTCGTAGGACGCTTGAATTCGTGAAGTCTTGGAACCAGCGAGAACAGCTCATCGGAGCAATTACCATGAAAGTATTTGTAAAAAAGACAGAGAGAGGCAACGGCGCGTCTGTGAGAGAGCGACTGCAGCTTGTTAAATTCACTTACGTGCAAATAGCCTTGGGAAAGGTATGAGTCCATATCTTCTCCCCCAGTTATGAGTAAATAGCAGGACATACTGGGTCCTATAGCGGTCTAGGAGGAGGATAACTCTGAATTTAAAACCTTCATCTATGTATATTGCATATTGCAGAGTCCTGTTGAGAGACAAAGGATCTTCCAGCAGCAAACCAGGGCTGCACTAACACCTCAAGCCACTTGATGTAGGCCTCCGTGCTAATTCTGAGTTACTTTTTCGAACTGACCATTAGATTCATCCAACTCATTCCGAAACCTCTGCACTTTCCTCACATTGACACCCATACACTCTGAAATCTTCGTATTGGAGTTTCCGGTGCGAGTGACAAGAAGTACATCATGCTGCTTCCAAACTTCTGGCGGAGTGAATTGCGTCATGGGATGTCCAACTGATTCTCCAATACTATGCAGTCAACAAAATCAAAAATAAACAATGCGCGTGCGTGAAATTAAAATATTAAATTGTGACACTTTAACCATCGCACCCTGTATATATATATATATATATATATATATATATATATATATATATATATTTATTTACATATATTTTTGTATGTATGCATTTAAACACTATATGTGTGTGTGCGTGTGTGTGTGAGAGAGAGAGAGTAGTTTGAAGATCGCTTAAGGTGTGAAACTGACTGACACAATGCAGTGTTGATTTTATGTCCAAATTGTCTATAAATATAAAATCTTTATACACGATATGAAGCACTCTTCCTCCCCATGCATAGATACATTTTAAGCATAATATATATATATATATATATATATATATATATATATATATATATGTGTGTGTGTGTGTGTGTGTGCGGTCAACACACGGTCGCGACAGTCTATTTCATGCTTAAATGCAATCTTCAGACCACGTTATTAACATTACTATGCCCTTATCATTTTTATCATTCTTGAAGTATATAAATATATTTACCTGATTCTTGAAGTAAGACATTGCCTCTGACGAAAGTGCTTACCTTAAAAAGCAACCGATTGCTAAACAGAGTTTTAGATTTCAGCTTTCGAACAATAGACTTGAAAAGTGCTCAGCAACAAATAAAAAAAAAAATTCTCGGCTTTGAAATGTTACTTCAAAGAAGTTGAACTCTGAAACATCTTTCGAGAAATGTGACATCAGACAATGAAGCAACATCAGTCAAGTCGCTAGCGTTGCCATCGAAAACAGATATTTGTATTCATTAATTAAATCCTTTGTTTTTTTGCTGTCGATATCACGCGGAAAGAAGAAACGCATCTTGGATGTACAATATGCTCTTTCTCGGTTCATAAAGAAAACGTTTCTATTCACGCACACACTGACTTGTATATACGATCACTCAGCTTCGTTTTTTTTTTTTTTAGCATTTCTCAGATTATGAATACAAACTACTGCCTGGTTTTCTTTTCAGGCATTTTAAGAAGTTGTTTTCAAATCGTATAAGAATGGCACAGGGTCTTACATTTGGAGTATTAAAAGTG